CCACACCTAAGCTAACAATATTGGTTTTCCTGCTCTTATGACCACAGGGACAGCTCTCTCACCTGCCCCAGACTTTGATGGATAATTAATTGCTAAGGATGGGGTGAGAGGGTAACTTTCACCCAACCATACATGCACAAGACAGATGGGTAATGGGGACACCTCTCTCATGCTTGCAATGTGGTAGCTGGCTCGCCCAAGAATGTAGTATCTAATCAGCATACTTATGCAGCAATGAAACAATTACCCCTAATTTTTGACATGGGGTGCTACCATTACAGAGAATAATGATAAATTTGAAGATCTGAGGTTTTCCACTTTAACTAGAAAATATATTTTTCATGGATGTTTATGCTATACATGAGCATACTACTTTTGAAAGTTATAATATACCTTCAACTTCAGAGAGTCTTTTCATTCTAAGAGCACAATATTTCACCATACCCTTTAGAAGACCCTGGATTCTTGGGCTCTCTCACCACTTCAGACTCTGGCCAGTCAGAACATGTGTCAAGCTCCTTTGAATAGGATAATGTACATCTGTTTTCTTATAGATTCCTCCAGGTTTAACCCAAGAGCATTCATTTTTAGATTCATCCATGTGACTCAAACTATTTCTTCCCCAACATCATATATTCAGAAATACAGACCAATTGGAACCAGAAAGGTGAATCGATCTAAATCTGTAATGCAGCCTTCCTTTCTATGCTTTGAACTTCCTAATTCTTGCATCTCCACCCAGTCTTTGTTTCAGATGCGCAGTTTGACTTGGATACTATGTGGTTGGATGACATGACTATGATCCTGAGCATGCTGATGGTGTTTGCCGTCATGCTTATTTTCTTTCTCTACTTCATACTAAGAGGTAAATGTCGTGGGGAAGGTGGGGAGCTCAAATGATGGCTGTCTAGATATCCAAGAAATTGACTTTCTGTTCCTTATGTTTTGATAGCTGGATTAAGAAAGACAGCAAGAGTTATTTAAAGAATTCTAAATCAGAGTCTTCTAGGGACTCCTGGAGCCTCTATTAGCCCCAGTATTAATTCTTTCAATGCCAAGGACATATTGCTCTGACAGTACATTAGGACAACTGTCCCTGATAAACATGGAAAGCCCACTATGGCTTCATCCATTCATTCTCTGGAGCTTCTGGATACTGGGCTCTTTGCCATATTTACATAATTTCTTCACATTTGGTTTCAAAGTTTGAACTCTTCTATCAGAAACATCCTCACTTTATCCAGACAATGCATGCAGATGGCCACGTAGTAAACTCTCTAAAATCACCTGTAAAATATTTCTCCGTTAAGTTGATTAACTTTGGTATTTCTTACAATGACGGGAAGCTCACTGACAGAAAAGTGGGATCAGTGTTGTAACAACAATGAGTAGTGTGGCATGCTGTGGAACTGGTTTCTGAGTGCAATTTGGAAAAGTTTGGAGATTCTAGTTCAAAAATCTCTAAAACATTTCTAGGGTGATTCAGATGGGATCTGGGATTCTTATTGCGGATAGCAAAGACTGTGCTCATAGGTGTTTGGGGAGAAAAGGAACTCTTTTGATATCAAAACCAGAGAGAAGTCATGTTACAATCTGACATTTTTGACATTTTGTGAATTTACTACTGGCGAACTAATTAATTTTGCAGAAGAAATGTTACTGCAGTGCTTTACTGTAGCATGAATTAACGTCTGTCTTTTGTCATTTACAGGTAGACATATGAAAGAAAGCAGAACAAGTTTATTTTTGAAAAATTGCAGTTTGTGCAAATAAGAATGGAACTTGAAGTTTTGGACAAGAAAACCATGGTCCTGAAGATGCTGGGGTCATTAGACAATGGAGAATTACCTTGAATGCATCTCAGTAATAGGCCACACCCCACACATCACTGACTGAGGGTATTAACTCACAGAAGTGTTTTAGAAGAAATCTTCAGGGTAACCTGTGAACCCAGGGTCATAAGAATAAATATCCTTACTTCCTTTAGTCCAGGCACACAGAGACCTCTGCAGACATCGTACAAGAGGGTATACTTATTATTTGAGCTTGCAACATTCTTTGGTGCCACACATGTGATGCTGTTTGGGGCACTGTTACATTAAGTTTTCCTATGAAGATGTAAACATCTATTCACTCCATATTGAGCATCAGGCACAGGCCAAATAAAAATTCCATCCAAGTACAACTTGGTGAGCCACTGAGATTATTAGTTCTTGAGGAACATGAGTAGTAGGCTGCTCACAAGTCCATGAGTGGTCCCTGAGCAGCTTCATCACAGAAAATTCCATCATTAGTGACAACCTCATGAATGTTGCATTAAGTAGCCCCTATTCAGTTAAATTTTCCCTTCTTGTATATTCTAGAGTCTCCCAAGACTATTGTAGCAAGGGTATGGTAGGAATGAAGGAGGCATAGCTACAATCTCAGATAATAAGCCTCCTCCTATGTCTACTGCTGAATGTCAGCATCATTACCAGCACCACAGACTTTGCGACCCTCTGTATTGTCCGGGTGGGATCTCTCAGTTTCCTGACCTGCTATATTACTTCTCTGTCTATACTTCAGGGACCCCGTACATCCCTGAAACCATAATCAAAAATAAAGCTTCTTTTGTAAGTCATTTTAGATTGCGGCATTTTACCACAGTAATCAAAAGTAACTAATAAAGGTGTTAATTACCAAAGAGTTGGGTATTGCTGTGAAGAATCCTACCCTGCTGGGTTTTGGAGAAATGTGAAAGACTTTGGAACTTTGGACTAGAAAAGTACATGAACCCTATACAGAGAACTTAGCAGGCCACTCTAGTAGAAAGAGGCCCAGCTCGACAGCTTCCAAGGGAAATAAAGTCTCTGAAGACAACTGGGCTAAAGGCCATTCACAGAACATTTTGGCATAAAGTCTGGCTATCTTCTGTCCACATCCTGCTAATTTTCATAAGGCTGAACTTAAAAGTAATGGACTCATTTCTTTGACATAGGAAATTTCCAGGGGTCATAACTTTAGAAATCTATCTCTCCTTTTCCCAGAAGCTAACAATTGCCAGTAACTCCAAAACTAAAGATAAAATTTCATGTCCAGGCTTCATTATTTGCTGGGGTTTGGTCTGGTTTAGGCTTGCATAGGTCTTTCTCAGGCTGTTACAATTATTGTGAGTTAGTGTATGTAGCTAACCTGCTGTAGCAGAATATACTGTTTCCTTGCAGATATTCACCACTCTGGCTCTTACATGCTTCTATAGTGATCCTTGATCCCTGAGAGGGGATTGGAGTAGACAGCCCTTTCAGGCTGACCATTCCGTAGTTGTTTATTGCCTCTACCTTGTCCAGTTTTGAATCTCTGTGCTATTTATTGTCTACTACAAATCTGAGCTTCTCAGGTGAGTTTTCAGAGATGCAGTGATCTATAATAACAAATCATTAAGTATTGGTTTAATGCTACATCCATCTATCAGTATTATGGTAGTAGAGTTCCCCCACCCCTGAAGTCTACATTCTGTTTAATCGCAGGTTCTTTGCCTGATAATGGAGCCAGATATGCCATTCATCTTGTGGATTGGAAACTTAAATCCAATGAATAAGTGGTTGCTTAATCTTTTGATGTTTGTGCCATTGTTACAACAGCAGGCCTGCAGGGTTCGCAGCTAGGTATAATTAATGATTGCTTTTACCCTCTGGTAGCATACATGGTATGTTCCAGAACTATGAAAGTTAGCTAACATGGAAGGAGCTTTCAGATCTGAGCTGGAAAGACGGCTTGGTCATTAAAGACTACGGCTCACGTTTACTGATTGCTTTTCTATCTCTTTACATTGAAACTGTTTTTATCATTGTTTAAGGATATATTCTAAAATAGCCAAGCACCTATTTTTTATTTCATTTAGTTTCAGCATCATCTTGAATACTATATTTGGGTCCATTTATATTTCTGATTGATGTGTTTTAAGGATTTTTTCACTTTTAATTGTGTGTATATTTTGTCCATGACTGTGTGTGGGTATGTGCATGTGAGTGCATATTGAAAAAGAATCTTGGAGAGGGTTTTGAATTATCTGGAACTGGAGTTTACACGGTTATGGACCATCTAATATGGGTACTGGGAACCAAACTCTGATCCTCTGGAAGAGCAACAAATACTCAACTACTGGGCCATCTCTTCAGCCATTCTCATTGATAAATTTTAATTCATTCAGGAAATATATAGACTTTGTGATTCATTTTATGTTACTAATTGCCTTTCTATAAATCTGGTAGTTATTATTTATGGTGCTATTATATTTACTTTGATACCATTTTATGAAAATTGCAAAAATAATACATAGGTAATATAATTTTAGAATTTGTAATAATTAAGAAAACATTTTATTTTGCTGCTAAACATTAACTATACACAAAAGTACATTATTTGTTCTAAAATACTTTTCCCTAAAGTTTGTATCATTGCTTTTATTGCCTTCAATCATCCTTTCTTCAAAAATAAAATCCTATGTTTGAAGAAAATTTGTCAAAAAAATATTTTTAACAAATCCATATTGATTCCAATCTTACTGAGTTTAAGATGTGGAGGAGCATATGAATCACAGAGCAAATGGACACTCATTGGTACCTATATTGTGACAAAGCTCAAAATCAAAATTGATATTTTTGCCCTGAAACTATATATATACACAAAAACAAAAACAGTCTCAGCATGTTGTATTTATATATTTGTGCATACATATACATATCTGTGAGTGTTTAACAATAATAAAAAAGAAAAAGAGTCTATCAATTTGAGGGGGTGGCATGGGATGGGTTGGAAGGAGGGTACACGAAAAGAGCTAGGGAAGAAAAAGGTGGGAAGCAATGTAATTCCATGTTGATTTAAAAATGTATTTTAAAAATCTACACTTTTTATACAGAACAAAATTTGATCAAAAGAACCCTCAATTGTGTGATATATATATAATAATATATAATATATATATTAGTTCAAATCTGTATCCTCTGTTTTTCTTACTACCTCAAGTTCCCCCGCTGAGACTGCAATCTGATCTTAAGGGCTAAAGAAGATTTAACATTTCATTGCCACAGTTCCTTGGCACAGCATGGTTTCATCTTTGCGACTTTTTTGGTCCAGGATGATTTCTCATGGCAACTTCCTCAGTCCAGGATGATTTCCTCTCTGCAACTTCCTCAGTCCAGGATGCTTTCCTCTCTGCAACTTCCTTGTTCCAGGATGTTTTCCTCACTGCAACTTCCTTGGTGTACGATGATTTCCTCTCTGGAACTTCCTAGGGACTGAGCAGATATATAGATATTTTACTCTGAGAGAGATCTGAACAAATCTAAAGAATCATTGGGTCATACTTTAAAAGTCTACACTGCACAAAATTGGAAAAACTAAAAGAAACAGATAATTTTCTTGATAGGTTCTCTTACCAAAGTTAAATCAAGATTAGACAAATATTTTAAACAGATCTATAACCTCTACTGAAATAAAAGCAGTCATTAAAAGTCTCCCAATCAGGTATTGGCATAAAACAGAAGTTGATCAATGGAATTGAGTAGAAGACCCGGAATTTAACCCACAAACCTTTGAACACCTGATTTTTGATAAAGGAGCTAAAAGTATACAATGGAAGAAAGATAGCATCTTCAACAAATGGTGCTGGAGAACTGGTTGTCAACCTGTAGAAGAATGAAAATAGATCCATATCTATCACCATGTACAAAACTCAAGTCCAAATGGATTAAAGACCTCAATATCAGGCTTTACACACTGAACCTGATAGAAGAGAAAGTGGGAAGTACTCTACAACATATGGGCACAGGAGACCACTTCCTACGTATAACCGCAGCAGCACAGACATTAAGGGCAACATTGAATAAATGGGACTTCCTGAAACTGAGAAGCTTCTGTAAAGCAAAGGACACTTTCACTAAGACAAAAAGGCAACCCACTGACTGGGAGAAGATCTTTACCAACCCCGCAACAGACAAAGGTCTGATCTCCAAAATATATAAAGAACTCAAGAAACTAGATGTTAAAATGCTAATTAACCCAATTAAAAAATGGGGCACTGAACTGAACAGAGAATTCTCAACAGAAGAAATTCAGATGGCCAAAAGACATTTAAGGTCATGCTCAACCTCCTTAGCGATCAGGGAAATGCAAATCAAAACAACTTTGAGACACCATCTTACACCTGTCAGAATGGCTAAAATCAAAAACACCAATGATAGCCTTTGCTGGAGAGGATGTGGAGTAAGGGGTACACTCATCCATTGCTGATGGGAATGCAAACTTGTGCAACCACTTTGGAAAGCAGTGTGGCGGTTTCTCAGGAAATTTGGGATCAACCTACCCCAGGACCCAGCAATACCACTCTTGGGAATATACCCAAGAGATGCCCTATCATACAACAAAAGTATATGCTCAACTATGTTTATAGCAGCATTGTTTGTAATAGCCAGAACCTGGAAACATCCTAGATGCCCTTCCACAAAAGAATGAAGAAAGTGTGGAATATATACATATCAGAGTACTACTTATCGGTAAAAAAACAATGACTTCTTGAATTTTGCATGCAAATGGATGGAAATAGAAAACATTATCCCAAGTGAGGTAACCCAGACCCAAAAAGATGAACATGGGATGTACTCACTCATAATTGATTTTTAGCCATAAATATAGGACATTGAGCCTATAATTCGTGATCCTAGAGAAGCTAAATAAGAAGGAGAACCCAAAGAAAAACATATAGTTATCCTTTTGGATATTGGAAGTAGTCAAGATTGCTGGGCAAAAATTTGGGAACTGGAGGGTGGGGTGGGATGGGGAAAAGGGGAGATAGGAAGAAAAAAGTGAGAAGGGGAGGATAGGGAGAACTTGAGGGAATGGGATGGTTGGGATAATGGAAGGATGAATATGGGAGCAGGGAAGTATATATCTTAATTAAGGGAGCCATTTTAGGTTTGGCAAGAGCCTTGACTCTATAGGGGTTCCCAGGGGTTCAGAGAGATGTACCCAACTAGGTCCTTGGGCAGCTGAGGAGAGAGAGCCTGAAATGGCCTGATCCTATAGCCATACTAATGAATATCTTGCACCATAGAACCTTCATCTGGCGATGGATGGAGATAGAGACAGAGACCCACATTGGAGCAATGGACGGAGCTCCCAAGGTCTGAATGAGGAACAGAAGGAGGGAGAACATGAGCAAGCAAGTCAAGACTGCGAGGGGGACACCCACCCACTGAGACAATGGGGCTGACCAATTCAATAAGCTGCTACCTTTGATAAACATACTGCATACTTTAGTTACAGAGTCTATTTGTCACTTTTAGATGAATACTTATGATGTCACGTGTTGTTTTTCTGTTACATATAAGTCAAATGATTCTTTAAGGAGGCAACATTTATCACTGAGACTAACAATAACTTCTATGGTTTTAGGACATTTTTTCCAACATTACTTACTTCACAAATTTGTTTAGAAAGAAGACAGAGATTAATTAAAATTGAGAACAGAGAAAATTTTAACCTGCTATATTAAGAGTTAGCAGAATCTTCTCACCTGGACCCCACACTAGGATCCACAGTATAAACAGAGGCCACTCATTTGTTTCCCAGCTGCCCAGACCTGAATAATTACACAGGAACTATATTAATTACAACACTGCTTGGCCTGTCAGCTCAAGCTTCTTATTAACTAGCTTTTGCATCTTGACCCATTTCTATTATTTTTATTGCCTTGAGGTTGTGGCCTACCAGTAAGGTTCCATCCAGTGTCTGTCTCTTTTGGCAGCTACATAGTATCTCTCTGACTCTGTCTACTCTTCATATATA